TCTAACTCAAATAGTCAACTTTCCAACTCATTTTCCAGACAACCCTAATCATTTACCTTCTCTACTCGACTTATGTCTTGTTTTGGATCCTAGTCAGTGCTCAATTTCTCCACATTCACCCTTAGGTACTTCTGATCACGGTTTGATCTCTCTAAAACTATTATCAAATTCTTCTACTTCATCAGAATCCCCCTATCATCGTACTACATACAACTACCTTAAAGCTGACTGGGACTCTTTCCGTGATTTTCTTCGTGATGGCCCTTGGGTAGAAATCTTTCGTCTTCCTGCTGACAAATGTGCTTCTTACATAACTTCGTGGATTCAGGCTGGCATGGAATCTTTTATTCCCTCTCGACGATTCCAGGTCAAGCCTCACTCTTCTCCTTGGTTTTCCTCACATTGCGCTGCAGCAATTTCTAATCGAAACCGTTACTTCCATATCTATCAGCAAAACAATTCTCCAGAAAACAGACATCTGTTCACTATCGCCAGAAACCATTGTAAAAAGGTTTTGTCTGACGCCAAAGCTCACTATTCCCAGGTCATTAAATCTCGTATCTCATCACAAAAATTAGGCTCTCGAGACTTCTGGAGAATCTTTAACAGTATCAATAATAAGGGCAAATCTGTTATTCCTTCTCTCTTGTATGGTTCAGACTTTGTCACCTCACCTAAAGACAAAGCTGAATTGTTTGCTAAGAACTTTTCATCAATATCATCTCTTGATTCCACTAGTTGCGTTTTACCTGACATAGCCGTCAAACAGGTTGATCCCTTGCTTGACATTCGCCTCACTTCAGCTTCTGTATCTAAAGTAATTTCCTGCTTAGACTCTTCAACAGCTTGTGGTCCTGACAACATTCCTGTTGTAGTCTTGCAGAGGTGTTCTCCGGAGCTTTCATCCATACTTTCTAAACTATTTAACAAGTGCTTATCAGAGTCTTGTTTTCCATCATGCTGGAAAGCAGCATCTGTTATCCCTATTTTCAAAAATTCCGGAGAGCGATCTGATTCATCTAACTACCGTCCCATTAGTCTTCTTCCTGTCATAAGCAAGGTTTTTGAATCTTTAATCAACAAACACTTAATCTCTCATCTTGAATCAAATAACTTACTTTCTGATCATCAATATGGATTTCGGTCTTCTCGTTCTACAGCTGACGTTTTTTTTTTACCGTGCATTAGATAGAGGTGGAGAGGTTAAGGCTATCGCTCTTGACATTTCTAAAGCTTTTGATAAAGTTTGGCATGCTGGTCTTCTCCATAAGCTTTCTTCTTATGGTGTAGCTGGTAACGTCTTTAAGATTATTGAGTCCTTTCTTTCCAATCGTAGTATAAAAGTTGTCCTCAATGGACAACACTCTTCTTCACATCCTGTAACTTCAGGGGTTCCTCAAGGTTCAATCCTTGGCCCTATACTCTTTTTAATTTACATTAACGATCTTCCAGATATTCTCACATCTAAGGTGGCATTATTCGCTGACGACACTACCATTTACTCTTGTCATGATAAGAAGCCTACACTCTCTGATTGCTTGGAGGGGGTATCTGAGCTTGAAAAGGATCTCACTTCTGCTACAGCTTGGGGCTCACAGTGGCTGGTGAACTTTAATTCAGGTAAAACTCAATTTTATTCGGCCAATCGTTATCGTAATAATTTAGATCTTCCTATATTTATGAATGGTAATGTACTAGATGAGTCATCTACCATTCATCTTCTAGGATTAACTCTTACTTCTGATCTTTCTTTTAAACCGTATATCAAATCCATTGCAAAATTAGCATCTGCTAAGGTTGCATCTCTTTATCGAGCTCGACACTTTCTTACTCCAGATTCTATTCTCTATCTCTATAAATCTCAAATCCGTCCCTGTATGGAATACTGTTGCCACATCTGGGGCGGATCTTCTAATGATGCTCTTTCTCTTTTAGACAAGGTGCAAAAACGAATTGTAAACATAGTTGGACCTGCTCTGGCAGCCAATCTCCAACCTTTGTCACATCGTCGTAATGTTGCTTCTCTTTCTCTTTTCTACAAATACTATAATGGGCACTGCTCTAAAGAGCTAGCGTCCCTTGTGCCATCTACTAAAATTAATTCTCGTGTTACTCGCCATTCAATTAAGTCTCATCCTTTTTCTGTGACTGTTCCTAAGTGCTTCAAAAACTCTTATTCTTCTAGTTTTTTTCCTCGAACATCAGTTCTTTGGAATTCGCTTCCTTTATCTTGCTTTCCTGATTCATATAATTTGCAATCTTTTAAGTCATCAGTCAATCGTTATCTTGCTCTACAGATTTAGTCTTTTCTCTTCCAGTAACTTCCAACTCTTATAGTGGTTGCTTGCAGCCTTGTTGGATGTGAAGATGTTAAAAAAAAAAAAAAAAAAAAAAATGTTATTAAGTTATAGGACAATACCTCATGCAGGAAAATCGAGAAGTCCATCTGAGATGATGGGTAGGCAGTTAAGATCTCCTCATACTATGAGTTTTGAGAGTGGGTCACCGTTATGGTATCGCAAGAAACCAGAGTCGAAGCCAGAGCCAGCAGCCTTCATTTCTCAAGCTGGCCAAAACATGGCAATCATTATGAGAAATAATTTTGGTACATTGATCCATTTCGACCAATTGAATAGGTGACTAATTGAGACAAATGTGGATGGGGATGAGTGCAGTGTTAACGAGAAACTTTGTTCTATTAACAAAGAGGAACTTGTTACATGTAAAGTGCTTATGCCAGATAAAGAACCACAGAATATCAAAGAATATCGAAGAAGTACTCGATCAACCAGAGGGCAAAAGCCAATATGTTTCAGGGATGTTGTGCCGTAAAAACCGACTACGAGTTACGGACGTTCTGCAAACATCTATTTTATTACGTGGCATTTTATATAGATATATATTATTGTATGCATGTAAAAAAGGGAATATAGAACATTTACTATAGATGCATATTAATATGAATAGGTAGTTTTGCTTTTATTCTACGATACAACAACTACCTCCTCAACAGTCACATAAAACTTTGTCATCTAGGGCCCAGCCTGGATGACAATCCGGGTGCAATTTTGAAAAGACCTTGAGCCAAATATTTTAGTTCCAATAAAAAAATTGTGCTTGGTTGATGAACATCTTATCAAGATGACTTCTGCTTGTCTTTTTGCAGAGTAATGCAGTGTGACACTTAAGTCGTTAATATAAGAGATGTTTACCCTTTCCATTAACCAGACTCTCAAGGCGGAGACAGCAAGTGCAAGGCTTCACAATATAAATAATGAAGAGTTAATGGGAATGTTTAGTGAGGCTAAGAAAGATCAACTAATGCAACAATTAATTATATTTCATGCAAATTAAGATTGAAAAAGAATCAAATTTTAAATTACCTAGATAGCCTAGTTCAATTATATAGAAAAAATGTAGTTATGTGGTTTATTCACGCAGCCCATAAAAAGAAGATAATAAATTGAATAAAGGAAAATAATATATGAACAGAGATTTAAAAAAAAACATACATACAAATGCCAAAAAAAATGGATGAAAAAGAGAAAAAAAGTTAAAGCGACAGCTGTATGAACTTTCTTACAATGAAGTAAAGAATTTATATACATTGTCTTTCAAGCAACTTGATGACTTAGATGATGTAATTTCAGATGGAATTGTTAGGCGAAAAATCTGCCATGAATGGTGCAATACTGCGTATTTGTAGTATGTCATGTATAATGGAAGAGTAGAAAAACCTAAAAAATTAAAACAAGACAAAGTTTACACTATTTGTTACTGGAATAAAGGTAATACTGATACTGAAGCTGTTGACTGCAACATGAAAAATTTACAGCTTGTTGCTGATGTTGTAGCAGGAGAGTCACTTTTTTTCATAAATGTTTTTAGAGAAAAATAAAAGTATTTGACTTGGAATGAACTTTGCACAAGTGTTGTGACAAATATTTTGATAGGCGGCTTTAGCTCACCTTACAAGGTGTCTATCGTTAAAAATGATTATTAAAATGTACTTTTATTATTTACTAAAAGACAAGACGCAGTTATAAATTTGTAGTACACTGTTACACCTATCGTTTGATACCAAGTTATAGGTATTTAGATGAGAACTGACAAAATTATTACAATTTAAGTAAAGAAAAATTGAATTTTGACCACAGTTTCTTCAAGAAATCCATATATCAAAAATTTGTTACTAAAAATCTCATAACCTTTTATAGAATTGTTAGACTTTAATAATTTTTCACCCTTAAGATACTGTATATAAGCCCTTTCCAATGATATAACCTAGCCTTTGATCAATTTAAAATTTTCAATCCACATACCTAGTAAAGGAATAAAGTCATAATCAAGTATAAAAATGGTAAGTATAAGCATTTTTAGAGTAATTTTATAAATTTTATCATCAAATTAGAGTACCCTCCTAAGTTTTTTAGGCCTATGTTTCTATACGATGCTTAATAAGGGATCATCCATAAAGTATGTACGCTGGGAGAGGAGGTCTGCAAATGGCGTTTATGAGATAAAGGGTTAGTAGGTAAAAAATATCATAATATAGGTAAAAAGTATCATAAAATGTTGGGTTAGTAGGTTAAAAGTGTAGGTACTTTTAGGGAGGTAGAGAGGGGGGTGGGGGTGGTTATCAAAAAAAAAGCGTACGTACTTTATGGACGACCCCTAAGCATAAAATTCTCTATCAAAATCAATCATAAAATGCTAGGTAAATGAAAAAGCATAAATTTTTTTTTAAAGTGGATTTAGATGAGCACATAACTACAATATTTTGATCACCTTAATTTTGAATAATCTAGATCCTTTTTTAGACTTATTATAACATTTAGGCTTTTTAAGCGCTTTCTAGTTATAATAAAAATTAGAAGAATAGAAAAAAATATTCATTTTTTAAAACAGTTAAAACAAAATTTCCTAATAATGCAACAATGATTTATTTTAGTTTTTGAAATATATATATTTTAAACATCTCATCTTTATATATTTATTACCTTTTGTACACACCAGTATCATAATTATGAGCTTGTTTTATTTCTTCAGTATTATCTGTAAGGTTTTCTTGTAATATACCAACAACATTTTGAAGCATTTCATGTTGCTCAGTAAAAGATGACGACCTTTCTTGTGAAGATTTTCCTCCCATTAAAACAGCTTCTACTTTTTCTGGTGTATGCAAAGTAATCAGATTATCTCCATAAACACTCAATCTAGATTTATTTTTATAATTACTCTCAGAAAATTCATAACCACTCTTGTTTTGTAATTCATTTAATGAAACTGACGATACATTTTTATTCGAAAGAGGAGGGCTAAATAAGTCTTTACTGTTACTTTGAAGCATATTGTAATATACTTAAATTATTTATGAGACTTTTTTCTTAAAACAATTCTGAAAATCCATCTGCTTAGCGCATTACTTAACAATTAAAACAAAATGAAATTCAAACTCGTAACATTTTGTGATAAACATTCGCTTAATGAGCAAACGAACTAAATATGTTTAAAATAAAAATAGTTGTAGCTGAATTCCCTGATGGCCTTTGAAAATCCGTCAAAATATAAAAATAAGTTATACACCAAAACAACTGTTTTGAAAAAATTTATTGCGAGTCAATTACTTTTATTTGAATGTTTTTATCAACTATTTGAAATATTGTATAAAAATTAATTCAAAAAATAAAGAGTTACATCCATAACAGAAGTTTTTATTTAATTATAATGAATGATATTATTCTTAAAACCGTAAAATCTTTTAAGTTCGGTCACTATGTTACTTCGGTCATTTGAGGAAAACAGCGTACAAAAGCGTGCCAAACTCAAATTTTATAAACTTTTTTTTCTCGCATAATATTTGTTATTACTTCATAAATATGAATCTATATTTAAAAAAAATAATGTTTATTTTCAACCTGCTGAAACAATTCTAGTCTAAAACAAGTCTAAAATAAGCAAAGTATTAAATTAAATGATCAAACTTAACCTTAGTATTATTAAGAATCTGAAAATTAGTTATATTTACAAAAAAAAAAAATTTAATAATTTTCAAATATTGCCAACTTCTTATTTTTAAATTAGTGAAATTTTGAAATAAACAATTAAGGAGACGTTAATGTAAATCATTCATGGATAAATGGATAAACAACTAGGGAGACGTTAATGTAAATTTAGGCTTTTTATAATAATACTCACTTTAATATTTTAATTGAATTAAGAATTTGTTTACATTTTCAAAATTAACCTGTTTTAAAATAAAATTTACTGGTAAATTTATAAACTGATATGAACTAATTACAAAACAATAATATAAATTGCAAAGCACTGAAATAGTTCTTTTGCAAGCTAATTTCTTCTTTCTCTTATCTAGATTGCAAATCATATCCTTTCTATCTAATGCAAGGAGTGAGACAGACATCTATTCTCTCGCCTCACTTGTATAACATTTATACTCAAAACCTACTAAAAACTTTACAAAATGAAAGCGTCGTAGGTACATCAATCAATGGAAACTATACGGGTGTTGTAGCAAATGCTGATGACAATATACTCCTTAGCTTCACCCTCTCTGGCCTACAAAAGCTAGTTAATATATGTAATATGTACACACACAAAAACTGCATAAAATTGAATGCTGACAAAACCGAGTTCCTGCTCACCGGAAAAAAGCCAATTAAAAACTGTTCAATAACTCTATAACTCGATTAAAGCCAATTAAAAACTGCACAATAACTCTAGCTCGATCACATTACGCAAAGTCGGTTATCGATTTTTTAAAATTGAAAAAAATCAAAGTTGTACCCAAAGATATAAACCCATCTAACGTTCCAGAAGCAAGAGCAATCGAAAACTTTTGAGGTGATTTAAAACGGCTAGTGTGCGAGAATAATTGGAAAACTGAAAATTAGGAAAAGCTTGAAGCAAGAATTAGATATTGCTAATAAAGAAATTTTCCTTACTCAAATAAACATCTTTCAAAAAAACTTTATAATATTGCTAAATATGGTATTTGAAATAATTATTTTAGTATATATATAAACTACATATACTAACATATTGACAGTTGAAATATTAAATAATAAAACTTATTAGTCCTTAAAATATTAATTTTTAAATTTGTGTCGAAATTTTATTTATGAATTATTTTATTTTTATGGTGTTACGTCATTATGACATTGTCACCTATAGCACGGATAGCTTATGGTTTGAGAGCTATGGACGAAATTATAAGTAAAAGGAAAGCAACTAAAACATTTGGCTTCAAAAGATCAACATTCATCAACAGAAGTAATAGGAAGCATATTTAAAAAAATGGTAAACCAACTAAATTAAGCGATAGTATCAAGGGCATTTTAGTAAATACTTTAATATTAATAAATGATATTGGTTTTAGTTTGACTAGACTTAAAACACTGTGTGTTGTTAATAACTACTTGGTTTATTCAAATCAAACGTGCTTTGATAGCAGCGAAGTTACTCTTGCATGATATAAATCATATATTAGAAGTTAATGTGATAAGCTATCGCTCAGAACTTCAAATAATATACTGTCTAACCATGATATGTAATATGCTTCTGTTTTAGAATAAATGCTCAATGTTCTGAATGATAGTGCGCGTCTCATTGAAAGTTTCATTATGATTTCTGAAAAAGCTTTGATAGAACTTAAAAACAAGCAAATAATTTCACAAAATAAGAAGAACGAAATTTAAGCTAAAAAGGTTTTGCGTATAAAAACGATACAAGAGGTTAATTCAATTAGGGGTCGTCCATATAACTTGTACGCGTTTTTTTTTGTCAAAACCCCTCCCCCGCATTTTGCAATACCATTTTGCAATATATAAAAAATAATATCGAGTGTTTTGATCATCTCAAAAATATTCTTTATAAAGTTTATAAATCATCTGTCTACTAAGGAGTTTTTCCTGATTGTCTAAAAACTGCAAAAGTTATTCCAATTTTGAAAGAAGGAGACTGTTGCAATATCAGTAACTATCGCCCTATATCTATCCTTTCTACCTTTTTAAAAATCTTAGAGCGTATTATCTACAATAGAGTATACAATTATTTTGTCTCCAATAATTTTTTTTATAATAGTCAATTTGGTTTCAAAAAAATAATTTTACCGAACATGCAATCATCCAATTTGTACGCGAAATCTTAAATTCCTTGCAAAGATCCCAATTTACATTAGGTGTTTATATTGACTTATCGAAGGCTTTTGATACTGTCGACCATGAAATCCTGCTTGAAAAACTAAAAAACGACGGATTAAACTATATAACTATAAAATGGCTTCCTAGTTACTTATCAAACCGCAAACAATTTGTTTTTATTAATAACTATAACCAAAGCCATCTACAAAATCCTGTGGTGTTCCCCAAGGTTCTATCTTGGGGCCCTCTTTGTTATTAAACTATATAAAATGACTTAAATAAAGCCTCAAACTTAATGAGTATCATGTTTGCCGACGACACCAATTTATTCCTGACAAATTATGACATATCCAAACTCTTTTCTACAATTAATGATGAACCTAAAAACATACCTGCTTAGTTTAAATGTAACAAACTAACTCTTAACATTAATAAAACCAAATGGGTTCTTTTCCATTCACTCTCTAAAAAACGCTATTTACCCTAAAATTTGCCCAAAATATTTATTGATAAATTTGAAATAAAAAGAGATTTTGTTGCTAAATTTTTAGATGTGGTTCTCGACGAGAACATTACATAGAAACCGCATAGAGAATATATTTGCTCAAAAATATCTAAAAGTAACGGAGTCTTATAAAAATCCAGATCATATTTAAGCAAAAAAGCCTTATCCCAACTCTATTACTCATTTATTCACACCTAAATTAATTATGCCAACATAGCGTGGGAAAGCACCGAAAAGAGTAAGCTAAAATGCCTTTTTTGCCGTCAGAAGCATGCGATCCATGGCCCTCTGTATTAACAGGCCTCGTAAACGCGTAAATCGGAGCCTGGAGCTGGGGGCCATTGAACTTACAAAAACTCTGTTTTTTTTTATAAAAAGTTTAAAAGTCTCTTCAGTAATCTATCATAAATTCAATTGAGACTGATTCACCTTCAGATGCTGTTTCTGTTTCACTATCATATTGTACAGAAATAGATTTTCCCGGTTCAATTTTAAGTCTTTTTTTGGATATATTTTTTTATTCTTATTTTAATTTGTGTAACATCTTTTTTATCACCACCTTCATTTTTTTTCTCATTTAATATGTCTAAAAGTCTCTGGTCTAAAGCTTTACAAGGACTCAAGGTGTTTTCACTTGGTAATTTGATAAACACTGCATTAGGATTAAATGGCACCAAACCACAAGCTCTAAATCCACTTATTAAATTTTTTCTGGAACATTCATTAATAGATATTATTAAATCATTCAGCAACTTAGAGAAATCTTCTTTTGCTAATGTTGCAAACTTTTTTCCACGAGAAGTAAGTTTCGAATCCAGAAGTATACTTCTCCAAGCTTTTTTTAATGGTGCAAAGAATGCAACATCAAGAGGTTGAGGTAAATGGGTTGAATTGGGCAGAAGGCATATGAGTCTAATGTTATGTTTTTTACAAGAATGAATAACTTTATGACTTAAATGGGAAGAGAGATTGTCACTTATTGATAATTTATTCCCAGTTTGTTTCTTAACGCATGGCAATGAATGAAATGTTTGAAAAAACCAATCCTCAAAAGTAACTTCATCAAACTACCCAGATTGGGTTCTGTTAAAGTTAGAATTTTTTGGACCATGTTTTATCCATAAATCATATAAATGTGTGCTTTTAAAAACTGTGTATAGTGGAAAAATTTCTCCGACACCATTTCCACAAAACATTACTGAGAAATAAGCCTTATTGCTATTCATTATTCTCTCAGGATACTTAGTTCCACGTTTCATAACATCTTTTTTATTTCAAGAATCGTTACGCAAATTTGTTTGATCATAATTCTAAATATTGCAAGGTGGAGTTCCTTCAAGCTCAAGTCTAATATTATAAAAATAAATTTTTAATTGTTCTTTATTTATAGCAGCACGTTTTCTTTTAATACTTGATGCAATTCTATGAGTTAACTGTGAACAATTCATAAAACTTGAGACCCAATCATCACCAGAAAATACTTTTACAGTACCATTTTGAAATTTTAAATAACCAGCTACTAACATTTTAACATCAAGTTTATTTAATGGAAATCCCCGATCTCACATAACCTTGAATATTGATGAAAATAACTGCTCCTCATCATAAGTAAATATGGTTGGTGCACCAATGCATTTTTTATGCTTTGACTTTATTTTATTATGTATAGTGCTTCTTGGTATACTAAACCTTTTTGAGGCTTGACGAACAGACATACCTTCATAAATTGCACCCATTCACTCTTTCAAAAGAATGGTATTAGAACAAGTGTTGTATACACTTTTTCCAACAATATGCTTGATATATTTACGAGGCATTATGCTTTAAACAAAAGTAAATATAAACAACACAAGCAAACTGCAATGTAGTAAATTATTAAACTATTATATAATTTTATTAAACTGCAATT